CCCTCCCTCCCTCCCTCTCCCCTTCCCTCCCTCTCTCCCTCCTTCCCTGTCTCTCTCTATATATATTTCTTTTCTTTTCTTTCCTTTTTTTTTTTTGAAATGGGGTTTCTCTGTATAGCTTTGGAGCCTGTCCTTGAGTTTGCTTTGGAGACCAGGTTGGCCTCGAACTCACCTGCCTCTGTCTCCCTAGTTCTGGGATCAAAGGCGTGTGTCACCACTGAAGGCCAGTAGAGGTTTCTTACTGCATACTAATGAATAAACTTGACCCTTAAGAAAGGATTCTAGACTTCTAGTTCCTGCAACATCAAACTATAGGGACCTAGGAGTCCCTTAATCCTCACTCTTTGCTGCCCAAGTGGGAAGACTGAGGCCCAAGCCAGCAGTGGCCCAGGCTTAGCCTTCTCTCTTATCCCAGGCATCTGCCCTGGCACCAACTGCTGGTGGAAGAATAGCTTGGTACTGTCAAGGAAGCTAACTGCTCAGCTGATAGCGGCCATACTCAGTCAAGGATTGTTCACCAGCCAAGCAGCCAGGTTCCCTATCAAGGAGACGCTCACCTGTCCAACAGCCTCTCCCCAGCCAGAAAAGGTACCTGTCCACCCAGGCAGGGATGGATGTGCTATCCATTTCTCAGCCTCTGAAGCCCACTTTTTGTTTCCAGACCTGCTGCCCATCTTGGGCTCCCGGAGGCCTGGGCAAGAAGAGAGGGCCTGGAATCCATCAAAGGATGGATTTCTCAGCCAGGTTGCAGTTAGGAAATCCCCATATTCAGCAGCCAGGCCTTCCTCCCCGCTTCCTGCCTCCTCCCTTCCTTGGCTCTAGTCACTCTATCGCAGCCCTGCAACTTTCCCTGGTCTCCCTCCAAGACCCCCTCCGTGCAGGTCGCTGGAGGCTCACCCTGTGCCTCATGCCTATGAAAGGCCTGGGTTTATGTAGGTGGTAGCTCTGGAGAAGAATTCCAGGCTGGCAAATTCAGGAAGAGAAGGAGACTTCCAGGCTTGTTATTATCTCTGTGCAGCTGAGCAGGTGGGGGCTCCTGGAGGCTGAGCATCCCCAGAGCATGGGTGACAGATGCCTGGACCTGCAGCTGTCATATTACCCACACTGCTGCCCATGGGCAGAGGAGAGAAGAAGGTAAGGAGGCCTGAGGATGAAACTGAGAGCAGTTACAACTCACTGGATTGCCAAAGAAATTGAAGTTTATTCTCTGAAGCTGGTTGTGGGGAAGGGGTCAGGGTATCCTGGTAGGAGAAGGGTAGGTCTTCAGGCCCCTCATGCCCATAGACTAGTGAGAAGGCTGAGCAGGAAGACTGTATTGCCAAATTTGGGCCAGCCTGGAGGGCATCCTGCCCCACTGTCCTGGGGATGGCCATCCCTGCTATCCTTGGGCAAGCTAGCCCCACCACTCTGAGGAGGGACAACCTTGACAACCGGGGGAGGGTCAACCCTGCTACTTTGACGATCTCTGGTTCCACGATCCATGGGGGGACGTGCAATGCCATCTTGAGTATCTCTGATTCCACTATCCACAGGGCTGCCTGCCCAGCCACCCGGAGAGTCCTGGACTTGGGGGCTCTGCCAGGGTGGAATATTGCACAGTTTGGACTGGCAACAGGTCTTGATCATCTGGGTGCCTGACACGGTCGTGGTGAAGGGTCTGCAGGTCTTGGTACACCACATGGAATAGGTGGTCAGGGGACCCTTGTCTAGGGGGTGTAGAGAATAGGTGGTAAGGGCAGGGCATGGGTGTCAGGGTGGGCTTCTTCTCTGGTCCCCCACCCTGGGTGTGCCTCTCCAAATGCTCACCAGTGTTGCCATGGGAGACTAACGTGATGCAGAAGTTGTGGCTGTGGTAGCAGCTCTGTGTCTGGTTGCAGCTCTCTCCACTATGTAGCAACGGGCACTTGTAGCACTGTAGGGATTCTGTGGACAACACGGCAGCTCAGGTTGAGAGTGGGACCCTGGGGCCATCCCCAAGTACCTGCCCCCACCACCAGCCACCCAGTAGCCCTCTCAAAGGAGCCTGTGCCTCCATCTCTGAAGAAGAAGGACAGAACATGGGGGTCCGATGAGGTAAAGCCCAGGGCTGAGGAAGCAGGCAGGGAGGGGAGGAGGGCGCTGACTGAGACCGGGCAGACCTGAGTGTCAGCTCAGAGTGGAGAAAACTGCCGCCCGCCCGCCCGCCTGAGGAGAGAGCCAGTGTGTGGGCTCCCGGCTCGGTCGCCAGTCGCTTGCTCTGCTTTGCCCTCGGGACAGGAGGTAAGTATTGGAGGAATACTCTGTGCAGAGCAGGAAGCTGGGCGCTCAGCCGGGTCAGGTACCTCTGTCCCTGCTTTCCGGGATCTCCTCTTCTTCCTCCTCTTCGTAGTCGTCATCGTAGCCGTAGCTCTCGGACCCCAAGTCCACGTCGTCATCTTCTTCTTGGGCCCACCTGCTCCCTGCTGGTGCAGGGACAGCTGTGAGCCTTGGCTGTCCAGATGCAGAGGACACACTCGGGGTTGAGCACTAAGTCCCGACCCTAACATGCCATCTTTTCTGTGCCCCTTCCATTTTAGACAAGGAGGCAGAATTCTCCCCAACCCCACCCCTGCAGTGCTGAAGCAGCCAAGCCTGCGGCTGGCAGGAGAAAGGAACCCAGGCCTTCCATCTTCCTCCCCAAGCCTATTTCTTGTCCCTAGGATAAGGGGTTCCTGAAGGCACTCATGGGTCAGGCCTGGGCCACCCCTTCTTGAGGTGATCCGCACCTGACTGTCCACTTATCAGCAAGACCAGGAGGACAACCCTGAGTGCCTCCATTCTGGCGCGGGCCGTTCTGTCCACTGGCACTATCCTCACTCGGGGTTCTGGGTCTGCATCAAGTGGGACATAGGGCATTACTGGGGGCTTCCCATGGCCCCCACCAGCTCTGACCTCAAACAATGGGTCTCACATTGGTCGTCAGCTGCAGACGGCACCAGGCCAGGAACATCACTTCCCTCAAGGACCTCCGGGGATAAAAAGGAAGGGGAAGTTATTATATTGGCCTTGGGTCTCCTGTGCCACCTGAGCGTTCCTATTGCCTGGTGGGGACTGCAAAATGCGAGAGTTGGCCTCAGGAACCACCTGGTTCTGTCCTGGCTCCTGAGCCTCCCGGCCTCAGCGTTGTCAGGCTTGCTGTGAGTTTGATGTGACAAGCACCTGTCACAAACCTCGGGGGGACCCTGGTTGCATAGCTACAAGAGCTTAGGACTCTATCTGAGGGTCTCAGGCCAGGCACCTTCCACCAGTGGGGTCTTAGGGCAGAGTATCCAGATGACAGCGTGGTCTGTCCAGCTGCAGCTCTGGCAACCACTCCTCCTCTCACTTCCTGTCCTTGATCCTGCTGGCCTCATGTCTCTCGCTGCTCTGACTGCCTCTTCCTTAGACAGGCTGTTCCCTCAGTAACTCCCTTCCCCTTCAGCCTCCGTACTGCTCCATATCACTTTGCTGGATGTCTGTCCTCTGATATTGCAGCCTCTAACCCCCCAGGGATACCGCAGCCACTGATGAGGCCACAGAAGGTAGGTGTTGTCCCTGGGCCTCTGCACCTAGGTAGCAGAGAGCCTTCTGGGACTGGCTACAGTCTACCTGGCCTGGCTTCTGCCTGGCAAAGCCATTAGCTCCAGCCACTGTCTCCTCCAGCATACTCTGTGTGAGCCTTTGGTGGCTTCAGGTCTCTCCCTGGGGTGCAGCAGATCCCCAAGCTCCAGGGGAGTTTGCAGATACGAGAGCTGGGTACTGGAGTCATGCTCCCTCCCTCACCTGAGGTAGGGAGGGAGGCAATGGGTGCTGGACAGGAGTCTGAGTCTATGCCAAGCCCTGGGAAGTTTGCCTGTCTTGTGGCTTGGGCCAGCTCCTGAACTTGTATAAGTCTCAGGTTACTGGATCATCCACAGGGCGTGGGAGAAATGGCCAATCTTTGGGAGTCATTTGGAGCAAACATTTGAGTCCCAGCTCCCAGTCCCATAAAATTGTCTGATCTCAATTTTCTCCTCAGGTGAGATGACCATTAGGGGCCAGGACTCACAAAAGTAAAGGACAGTGCATGGCACAGGTGGTCCCTTCTGGACTGGAAGACTCCTCTCTGTTGACTCAGTCATGAGTGTGCTGTGCCTCGTTGCCTTCTCTTGAACTATCTCCCTTCCCAGCATTTGCAAACTGGCCCAGCCTCCTGTTGACCTATACCTCTATCCCTGCCCCCGTTTCTAAACCTCACAGGCATAGCCTTTCCCCAAGCCGGGATCATCATCTCCCTTGGTCTTCCTTCTGACCCCACCCTCTGCAGGCCATGTGCTTACCTCCAGGCGCCAGCTGCTTCCTCCGGGGGCCCTCTGACCTAGTGAGGGCCCGGGCCTTCCAGGACCCTGTAAGGAGAAGTAGGCTTGAAACTATGCCCTCCTCCCTTGAATCTGTCAAGCAGTCTCCTTGTGAGCCTAGTTCCTCCTCTTTTGGGGACACACACCCAGGTCTGGGTTGGTGAGAATTTCAGAAGAATGACAGCTACGTTTAGGAAATGTGAGGAGGGGTGTAGTGGTGCGGCCACTCTGACTTCCCTTGACAGAACTAATAGTGGGAGGTGCACACTGTTCCCAGCGCTATATACACCCCTCCCAGACCCAGCACATACCGTTCCTAGCCCTCCAGGAAAGACTGCTTGAGTCTGGTCCAGCTAAGCCAGGGTTGATGGCCCTTGGGTAGAGATGAGATTGTTTACCTGATACCTTGATGGTAGATATCCGCTCCCCCCAGCTCTGATCCCAGTGTGGGTGGCAATCACTGTGTGCAGTAGGCATGGATGCTTATCCCCTTTCTGTCCCCCCAATCACCCACCCCACATTGCCTCTTGAGCAGACCCAAAAGTTGCGCCATGATCCAAAAGCAAGTTGGGGAGGAAAGGGTTTATTTGGCTTACACTTCCACATTGCTGTTCATCACTGAAGGAAGTTAGGACAGAGACTCAAACAGGGCAGGATTTGGAATCAGGAGCTGATGCAGATGCCGATGCCCGGGGAGGGGTACTGTTTATTGGCTTGCTTCCCTTGGCTGCTCAGCCTGCTTTCTTAAAGAACACAGGGCCACCAGTCAAGGGATGACATCACTCACAATGGGCTGGGCCCTCCCCCATCAATCACTAATTAAGAAAATGCCTTACAGCGCGATCTTAATGGAGGCATTTTCTCAGCTGAGGTTCCCGCCTTTCAGATAACTCCAGATTGCGTGCCAAGTTGACCTAAGACTAGCCAGCGCAGGCCCATAGCAATCAGACACAATGAGAAGGAGGAGGAGGACTGAACACAGGAGGAGTTACAAATAAGATCCCTGGGCTGGAGAGATGGCTCAGTGGTTAAGAGCATTGCCTTCTCTTCCAAAGGTCCTGAAGTTCAATTCCTGGCAACCACATGGTGGCTCACAACCATCTGTAATAAGGTCTGGTGCCCTCTTCTGGCCTGCAGTTATACATACAGACAGAATATTGTATACATAATAAATACATATTTTAAAAAAAAACAAAAAAACCAAATAAGATCCCCGAGTGCCCCCTGAGGTGGTGGCTCCTAGGTTCTTATGAGGGCTTCCATTCTACCTGGGAAAGCAAGGCTAGTGTGTGGGCATCTGCAACGTTTCCAGAACCTTCAAGTGGGATCAGTTGAGTAGGGCCTTGGAAAATTGGCAAGGACCTTCAGTCTAAAGTGGGATGCGGAGCTGGCAGGAAAACCCTGGCATAAGAGATAAGCGGGCTGATGCAATTACTACTTCCTGCTGCAGAGAACACATTTCCAGATGTCTAGCCACATGCCCCAGGAGCAACACTGCAACCAGAACAGAGCGTTCGAGTTGTGACCACCCAGACTATCTCATGGCTACCCTGTGCCTGCCTGCCCGTCTGCCTTCCTTCCTTAACTCTCTTTTAGTTTTCGGTTTTTTGAGACAGGGTCTCTCTACATAGCTCCAACTTTCTTGGAACTCACTATGTAGACTAGGCTAGCCTCGGACTCACAGAGATCTACTTTCCTTGCCTCCTGTGTGCTGGGATTAAATTAAAGGTATGTACCACCACACCCTGTTCACCTTGACTTTCAGTTGACTGGTGGTGTGGTGAGTTAGAAGTATTCCCAACAGCTGTGACTCTGGCCATGGTGCTGACTGCCAAGGCCTTGAGGGTGCAAGCTGGTTGGGGTCATATCTTGTCTACCCTTATCCTGAGGATCAGATTACTTGTGAGGGGTCCTGGAAATTGTGGGTGTATTTATTCACCCCAAGAATAGGGCACATTGCTAAAGGAACTAGAGAGGAGAATTAGGTCACTTCTCTGTCCCCGCCCCCTCCTCCGTTCCACTGTCACCCTGTGGGCAATCAGAAAGCACAAAGCCAAGCAGTGATGGCCTGGAGCCTGTCCCAAACTCCCCAAGAAATGTAGACACCTTTTTGTTCACATTGCTTGGTTTCTCTGACAGATGGCAACAGGCTCCAAGCAAGGCCGCTCACAGCAAGAACAGCCAGGTTTGTTTTGGGATCTTTCCTGGAAAGAGACGGAGAAGCGTCCATTCACCTCAGTCAGGTCACTGATGACAGACCACAGACACCACTCCACCAAGTTTAGCTTAGTGAACCAATGAGTTTATTACTTACACGAGCATGGGAGACTCAAAGGCAACTATGTCACCCCGATACCCACTTCAGCATAGGTGACCACTCATCAAGGCTGAATCTTTTGAGCTCCCAGCCTGCTCAGCTGACAGCTCAGCTGGTCGGAGAGTTTCCTCTCCCTAGCAACTGTTTCTGTTTCAGAAATGTGGGCGGAGTCTTTTGACTTTCAAGGGGACCCAGAGACTGGTAAGTTTATTTCTTGCATCCTTCCTGCCAAGTTCATGAACAGATCTGCTGGAGGGGAGGTGGCAGGGCCCAGTCCCTAACTGCAGAGCTTGGCCAGGTGTTTCCCTACTTCTGGGGTTCCTTATCAGCTAAACGTTTCAGGGCTACGAGCTGCTTGGGGCCACTGTCAATTTTCAGTTTCCTTTGGTGGAGCAGTGAGTGTCCCAGCAGCTGCTGGAACTGTCCTTCCTTTTGAGCTCAGAACCTCCACGGAGAGACTCCAATGCAACAAGCACATTTAACTCAACCTCCAGTGGAGTCCTCCCTATTCCTGAAGGTGTTCACTAGAATTTTGCTAATGTAAAATTGCTTCTTGTGGATCTTCCCTGCATAACATCACTCCCAGCTTGAATATACCACAATCAGGCTGGAGTCCAAAGTCATTCGGAGGCATCTAGTGGTAGGGAAAGGTGGGGGTGCTCCTGGCTGCTCTGACCCTTCACTGGAAGAAGAATCTTCCGGGGATTATGGTGAGAAGGGAGGAAAACTGGGTGCTCAGGAAACTGCCCTGCCACCTGCTGGCCTGCTGGGGACCTGGCCTGTTTGCTAACACTGCTGAAGGTGGACCAGCTCGCTGCACACTCACACCCCTGCAGGTGGATTCAGCCAGGACTGTGGTGCCTGGGCATAGCCATAGCAAGAACAAGATCATTTTGGTAGGTGGGGGAAACTCCTGGGCCACGCTTTCTAGTATTTTGCTCTAACCCCCAAGATGGTGGCTTCCCACGACAAGTGACCCAGGAGACCTTTCTGCTGTTCTTTCAGTACCGTGAGAAACGTGGGCTGTCACGAGCTCTCTCATCGCTGCTGGCTGTGCTTTGTCTGCTGTCAGCTCATCCTGTCCAAATCACCAGTCTGGCAACCCTCCATTCCCCATTATGGTGCTTTGTCTGTCTGCCAGGGCTCCTAGATACCCACAGCAGGGTTGGTCCCCAGCTTCATCGAGTAGAAATGGAGTTTACTGGAAGGCTTACTGAGCAGCTGTGGCTTCTTCAGGGAAGG